TGTTTCTATTGTCCCTCAACTTTCAATGCTAAGGTTTGGACATCCCAAATGACAAATATAGATGCAATTGCACAACGTATTGATAGTGAGCGTCAAACACCCTAGATATCGGGCTATGAAATGTTTCTCTAGCTCAACCAACTTGCACTTCATCTGCAACTAGTCCAACTGTGTTGCAAACTCCTCCACTAATAGGTCTCTCTCTGTTATAGGTGATGGAGCCTCAGAAACGAATGCTTGGAAACTCTAAAATAAGAGCAGTATTAGGTTAGCTCTAGTATCAATTGATAATGGAGCTCACACAAACCACAATAGAAATAATATTTTATTGTTGAAATTCAAAGAAGAATACAAACAAGACACTTGAAAATAGAAAACAACGACAAAAACACAAAACTAGGGCCTAGGTCGGGGTGGTGATGATGCGGTTTTATAGGACATAGTAGTTAGGGAGGGCTAGTTGGATTTCGAGGAAGAGGGGAGAGTGGAGGTGTGGTTGGACTGCAATGAAAGCTGAGGTGTTAGTAGCAGCCTGCAAGAAGGTTAGGAGGTCTAGCAACAATAAACAAAGTAAAAGTGGTTACACCAACTGCAAAAAACTGTCTGAGGCTAGCAGTAGCATGCAATAGGGTGGGAGGGGGTTATGGTAGCAGCAGGGAGGGATGGGTGAAGGCGGCAGCAAGCAATAAAAGAAGGATACACAACACCTCGAGACCACTTATAGCCGGAGCAGCTTCTAGTCGTCAAATACAGCCTTCGATGAGGAAAACAGAATGTCAGTGGCTGTCTTCGCAGAAATCATAAATAAAACTAACCCTAAACAAAGGAAAGAACATACTTATACTAATATATAACTAGGATGGGGTGACCCATCCCATTGTGTGGCAACCCTAATCCCAAGCAAGGGTTTGGCCAACCTCTGGCACCCGGTTAAGCCCTTTAGCCGGTTTAGCCCCCTAGCCCCGCATCATAAAGTTTCAGAAAATAGTACAAATTAAAAATTATATCAATTCAAATTGCTTAACCTCAAGGAATGTGCAATCATCTAGAACTTGACAAATTTTCTTTCAAAATTCAAATTCATCGACATTACGCATTCTTGAGAGGGTTGTCTTGCTTATAAAACGACATTGTAAGTCTCACATTTCAAGCTCGGTCCTTCTCATCAGTGAGGCTAAAGTTGACAAGACTTGGAAACCATGACACGCTTGTACAATAAGCTTAACAATGACAATAAATTCAATATACATAATTACATTTGCATAAGATCCTCGAGATCTCTACAACAACGACAACAAAGCCTTAATCCCACTACGTGGGGTCGGCTACATGAATCCTTTTTCTCTATTGTGTCCTATTTAGTGTCATATTTTCATTTAGTTCTAGTAAATTAAGATCATTTTTTATACAATAAGCCCAAGTCATC